CACTTCTCATCAAAAAGAAAAAAAAAATATAAGAAACGAGAGCTTGATGATTAAATGATACGTACGAGCCAAGAGGTTTGTTTCATTAAGGATTTGAGATGAGTAGGAGAACAATCTCTCATGGAATCAACCAATGAATTGATTAATCCTCCTCCATTGTTGATATCTTGAAGAACTTTCTTCTTCTTCGCCTTTGTTGTTACATCATTGTTTGATTTGTTTCCTATTTCTTTTTCCACAATTTTTGTGGTTTCTTCAATGAATCTTACTGAGAATAACAGAAAGAGAAAGGATTAAAACAGATAAGGATACATGCAAAATAATATAAAACGTAGTGTATGTATGTATTAATCTAACAAACTCAACAATTTTTACCCATTTTTGGTTTGTAAATTTTTGAGTCGAAATGAGAGAAAAAGAGATTTTGAGTTTGTGAAAACAGAGTGAGAATGTGTAGTGGGCTTGAGAGAGACAGAGGTTGAGGTATGGTATGGTCTGAATTTATAGTTGCAAATTATTATAGGAAAATAAATATTTTTTTAGGTAACATTTTAACTTAAACCAAAAAGAACAAAGAAAAAATCAGATATTGTTGTGTGTTCGAACGCTGGAACCCATTGAGTGTGGGTCCCACTATATGGTTAATGGGGCCCACAAAGCGGTTTTCCCGGTTTCACCGATGGTTTAGTTATTTGGGCGTTGCAGCGTTCCCCAGCAACCGCCACGTGGTCCCCTCCCATTAAGTGTGCATATGCTCTTTCATTTTTGCCCTCTTGCTCCTAATTTGTTTTTTTCCTTGTTGTTAATAATAAATAATCTTGTTGACAACCAAAAAAACAAAAATCTTAGGAACTCAAACAAATATAAGAACCAAATGAAATGTTTCAAATATATTTAAGAATCAAATCAATTTTTTTCCTTTCAATAGAATATAAATACATATATTTCTTTGGAGTTTCTTATGAGTTTGATGTTGTAAAAGAAAACAATGGGTGGTTGTAACACAAGGCAATCATTTTTTTTCTTTTTTCAAAGATCGAAAGGTAATATGAAATGTTATCATCTGACTAATTTTTTAACGAATGTAACCGTTGAATAGTTTATTCATCCGATTTTATAACAAACCTAAAATATGATACTATTTCGATAAACTAAATACATCAGCTGGTTATTTTAGCAGTTATACGAATTAAAACTTTAGAATTGTATCAGCCAATCATATTTAACATGCAATACTATAATAAGACAAAGTGCATCATAACTGCATCGAACAATTTTTTCTTATAGCTAGCTATAGGCCCTTATACTATAGCCTTTTTCATCACTAACAGATTCCTTAGGTCATCTCCAATTCTAGTCCAAATCCCAACCATTTTGGAGTAAAATTCTTTTTACCTCTATTTCATTTTCAACTCTAAAATGAAATAAATCTATTTTTTCCTCCAAATATGGAATAAATTTATTTTTCACTCTATTTTAGAGTTGAACTTTTTTATTTATAAAATGGTCCTTTAAATTTAAAAAGTTTTATTTTATGACATAAACATTTTTTGTGATGATTTTCAGTTTATTTGATTTTTTTTTTAATTGAAGAATTACAAGTTTATCAAATCACAAGAATTTACAAAAAATAATTCTATTATGAATAAGTTTTTTTTTTGTTAAAAATGTGTATGTATGTTTAAGTAAATATATGTTATTCAGAATTTAAGAATTCTTAAAAATTTGCATATTTTAAAGTTAATATGTATGTATGTGTAAATTGATATAACAGACCATAATTTTACAACTCTAATTTATAAAACAAAAAAAACGATAGGGTCAATTTGTAAGTTTTATAAATAAAATGTATTATTAGTAATTAATAAT